TCTCTGTTTCCCCCCCCCCCCCCCCCCAGCCACATCTCATGCAGGCTTTGCAGAGGTTCAGAGGGGATGAGCCCACCTCCTGCTGGGTGAGACCACCGAGCTGCCGCCCCGGCTCAGTCCTGCTGCAAGCAGCGATGCTGGGGGCTGTGCTGGGCCCCAGCCAGGGTTACTGCCTGACCCGCAGCTGGGGGGGCTGCCCAGGAGCAGCCAAGGTGGGTGGCCATCACTCCTCTCACCCCCCGCGCCCCTCTTCTCTTTGCAGATGCGCTGGCTCCCTCCCTCCGAGGCTGGTTCTCAGGGCTGGAAGTCCCGTCAGTTCTGCTGAATGCCGGGTGAGTGCCGCCTCCCCGCTCCCATCCCTCGCCTCCCCACTCCCATCCCTCGGCGCTGGTAGGGAGGGCTGGGGGCCACCTCACCCTGAGCGCCCCCGCCGCCACGCTTGGGGCCTTGGGCAGCTCAGGGTGGGCGGCCAGACCCTACCCCCACGCTGGCCGAGGCCACTTTCCAGCAGGCACCGTAGGTCTGGGTGCCCTCCTCGTCCCCAGGAAGAGGACATCTCGGCCACTGTCCGTCCCAAATTTTTTTCCCAAATAACCCCAGGCAGGATGGAAAGGCAGGTCCGTGGCTGGCCAGCCCCTGCTGTTAGAATCATAGAATCGTTTGGGTTGGAAAAGCCCTTTAAGCTCCCCCAGCCCAACCGTTCCCCTACCCCTGTCATCCCACCCCCAAACCCTGGCGCTAAGCATCTCCTCTGCCCGGCTGTTCAATGCCTCCAGTTGCATCAGCGGAGGCTGCCTGTGGGGCGGTCCTGGTCCTGCAGATGAAGGCAGCAGCAGGGCCAGTGCAACGCAAACATCTCGTTAACCCTTAATGAAAGCTCTCAAGAGCTTTCATTACATTTCAAAACAAGAAGCACGGCCTGATCCCAGCCTGCCTCGACCATCCCAGCTGCCATCCCCCCGGCGCTGCCGCTGCCTGCTGGGAAGCCTCCTGCCCCACCTCCGCACCCAGCCTACAGAGAAACCCCAAGGAGGCAGAGAGGCTCCGGCAT